ACTCTCAGCTCCTTGCGCCTCTTGCTCCCAGCTCCTCACACTCGCACCACAAACTGAAGTGAGCTCCTTTTTAAAACCCAGGTGCCCTGATTAGCCTGCCTTAATTGATTCTAGCAGCTTCTTCTTAATTGACTCTAGGTGTCCTAATTAGCCTGCCTGCCTTAACTGGTTCTAGCAAGTTCCTGATTACTCTAGTGCAGCCCCTGCTCTGGTCACTCAGGGAACAGAAAACTACTCATCCAGTGACCAGTATATTTACCCTCTACCAGACTCCTGTACCCCACTGGTCTGGGTCTGTCACAATACACACACACTTTCTATTCTTATTCAGCACACAAAATAGTCTATAAAAAGGCAGATGTTAAAGGGTCACCACTAGTTACTTTGTATTCTTGGGAGGTACAGCAAAGTACAAAATCGTACTAGTATTTTCAGCTAATCCATTCTGTTTTAGTAGGATTAGCTGAAACGTAGCCTATTTAAATAATTCAGTTCTAACTTTTTGAAATATATAGGCCATATATTATAGAATATATAGAGAGAATAATTCCCAAATATTTTAGCCCTGAAGGGATAATGAATACTTTAGTTGACTGATATCTTCCTTTAGATCCCCATTAAACTCTCCTTCGCTGTAAAGTTATTTCCTCATTTGGATTTTATAATACATCTAGGGTGACCAGACAGCAAGTGTGAAAAATTGGGACAGGGGGTGGGGAGTAATATGAGCCTATATAAGAAAAAGACCAAAAATTGGGACTGTCCCTATAAAATCAGGACATCTGGTCACCCTAAATACACCCCATCTTCTCTAGGCCTTTCTTATAGGCCATGAATCTGAAGTCAGTTCCACCTTAAATCCCATTGACTTCAGTAGAACTCTATGCAGGCGCAAAGGTCTACCTATGCAGAAAAAACGCATGATCAGAACTTTATATTGCAAGTTCTTTGGAACAGAGATTGCTTTCATCCATACATCTTGTTCCACAGCAAGCATTTTCAGTCCTATAACAAATACATAATTCATCTTTTCCAAGCAAGTATATTATATTCTATGGCCTTCTACTTTTTGGGAAGTTATAACTTAGTGCTGTTTGAAACAGTAATATATTAAAGTACACTAGGGAACCTTTAGTGGGCACCAGCGAGGTCTACCAGACCAGTTAATATTAGGGCTGTCAAGCGATTAAAAAAATTAATTGCAATTAATCGCACTGTTAAACAATAATAGAATACCATTTATTTAAATATTTTTGGATGTTTTCCACATTTTCAAATCTATTATAACACAGAATACAAAGTATACAGGGCTCACTTTATTTTTGATGACAAATATTTGCACTATAAAAAACAAAATAAATAGTCTTTCAATTCATCTAATACAAGTACTGTAGTGCAATCTCTTTTTCATGAAAGTTGAACTTACAAATGTAGAATTATGTACAAAAAATAACTGCACTGAAAGATAAAACAATGTAAAACTTTAGAGCCTTCAAGTCCATCAGTCCTATTTCTTGCTCAGCCAATTGCTCAGACTAAGAAGTTTGTTTACATTTGCAGGGGATAATGCTGCCCGCTTCTTGTTCACAATGTCACCTGAAAGTGAGAACAGGTGTTCGCCAGCTACAACTGTGCCATGCATCACAAGATATTTACATGCCAGATGCATTAAAGATTCATATGTCCCATCATTCTTCAACCACCATTCCAGAGTAGATGCATCCATGCTGATGATGGGTTCTGCTCAATAACAATCCAAAGCAGTGCGGACTGAAACATGTTCATTTTCATCATCTGAGTCAAATGCCACCAGCAGAAGGTTGATTTTCTTTTTTGGTGGTTCAGATTCTGTAGTTTCCGCATCGGAGTGTTGCTCTTTTAAGACTTCTGAAACCATGCTCCACACCTCGTCCCTCTCAGATTTTGGAAGGCACTTCAGATTCTTAAACCTTGGGTTGAGTTCTGTAGCTATCTTTAGAAATCTCACATTGGTACCTTCTTTTCGTTTTTTCAAATCTGCAGCGAAAATGTTCTTAAAATGAACATGTGCTAAGTCTTCATCCGAGAGTACTATAACGTGCAATATATGGCAGAATGCGTGTAAAATAGAACAGGAGACATACAATTCTCCCCCAAGAAGTTCAGCCACAAATTTAATTAACACATTTTTTTTAATGAGCGTCATCAGCATGGAAGCATGTCCTCTAGAATGATGACCAAAGCATGAAGGGGCATACAAATGTTTAGCATATCTGTCACGTAGATACCTTGCAATGTCGACTACAAAAGTCCCATGCGAATACCTGTTCTCCCTTTCTGGTGACATTGTAAATAAGAAGTGGGTAGCATTATCTCCTGTAATTTTTTTGAGTTAATCACATGTTAACTGTGATTGACAGCCCTAGTTAATACACAACACACTAATGTGCTTAATAAATCACCTTGCCATTAGTCTACATTACCCCATCACAAAGACAAGCCATTATGCAACAGCTCCCCAGAGAGCCGTATAGCAGACCAGAAAAGTTGGCGCACAATATGCTCCAGCCATGCCTCCTCCCTCTCCTACACCACTCCTTTCCATGCCAGGGGCTATGAGGGAAGCCACCAGCCTTATGCTACTGACAGTATGCCCTTGTGGGGAGATCAGTTCCAAAGCCCCATGCACACAGAGAGAGCCAGTCTGTAAAGGGTGTCAGAGAGCCCAACACGAGGGCCATAGTTTGGCTTTTCAGAGTAAAAAGCTGTTGCCTGCATAAAGTACTGTCCTATGCTCTATATTCCTATGCATTCTTTTTGATATTTTTATGTTGGCATATAACTATTGCATTAGTTAAAGAGCCACAGCATGCAACAAAGGGAACAGGAGTTAGTCAAATTCTTCCTATAAAGTAAAACTGATTTACTTTGTTTTTTAACCCAAGAGCAAGCGGGCAAAAAGGAGCTATCCAACCAGCCAGCACTCATTTTAGAAACATTTGAGATAAGGAAAAGAGGGTATGAATGAACCAGCAGTATAGCTGAGAAAAACAAAATTTGAATAGAATATAAAATAACAGTATTTGTGCTTCTGTGTTTATTTTACAATATGCTCCCTTCCCCCAATCTTCCAAAATTATTAGCCATAGGGAAAAATATCTGAATCCTCATGACCCAAGCATAAATTAAATTAGTAACAGAAAAAAGAACATGAAATCTTAGGGGAAAATATAAACTATTAACTTTAAGGGTGATATGTAAAATGAAATAAGCAAATCTTTATCATGAGAAATTTTCACTGTTTTCATTAAATCTCATCGTTCCATCTCTGTTGTCAAACTAGAAGAAGTGGCTTCATTTTCTAATCTTCAGGTCCAAAATAAAAAATCTCCACACAGAAACAAAAGTTAAAAGCATAGAAAAGATATCTCTGTTTTTAATTGTTTCCAGCTTGGTAAGTAAATTAATCGGCTAAGTACTGTACGACCTCTGTGTGGGGATCTTCCAGTTGAAAGTTAAAAAACTGAGCTGGTTTCTCTGTGTAGACACTAATGATCCTGAGGTACAATCATTTGCCTGGTATCTTTGATCACCATTTTCCTTTCCCCATGCTTGTGTACAGTGTGCTGTGCACTTCTTGTCCACTTGGGTACCATCTGCCATTCCTGAAGCAGCTGTGAAGCAATTCTGAACCCTTCAGCATTAATATAAAATACACCTCTATCCCGATATAACACGACCCGATATAACACGAATTCTGATATAACGCGGTAAAGCAGTGCTCCGGGGGGGGCGGGGCTGCGCACTCCGGCGGATCAAAGCAAGTTCATTATAACGTGGTTTCACCTATAACACGGTAAGATTTTTTGGCTCCCAAGGACAGCGTTATATCGAGATAGAGGTGTAATTCAGAAAGCTAAAGTGGGCCAACACTATAGCCACCATACAGACCAATGGCAACTATTATGCCAGCCAGCTCTGGTCAAACTGAACATTCTGGTGGATCAGACAAACATGCACTAAGTTCAGGTGTAACATATCTCTTAGGAGAATGGACCCTGAAGATATGCTTGGCTGGTTAGGCATGGATGCCCATGCACCCTTAATTCCACTTTCTGTGCATATTCATTATTACAAAGTCTCACCAAAGTCAAATACTATTTTTCTCCCACAGGACCCCTGCCTCATTCAGTAGGCAGGAAGGATAGTGAATGAGGCAGGGGTACATGGCTAAAAAGCCATTGTTGGCAAGACCCCTGTCTCTTTCCCTGTGAAAGTTGTAATGCAGGTAACACATGAGGCAAGGAGCTACAGGAAGAGAATTAGTGTTGTTGTGGTTATAGCACTGGATTGAAACCAGTGAGAATGGGATTCTAGCCCTAGCTTTGCCACAAACTTCCTCAGATCAGACTTTTCAGAATCAGTCATTACTTGCAGGTGCCTCGTTTTCTAGGTGACCAGCTTGAGACCGGGCTTGATTTTTCAGAAGTTCTGAACACTCACAATTGTAAATGAAGTCAACACCTGTAAAAAAATCCGGCCCTACCTGTCTCCAATTGGGCACCCGATCAATATTCAAAATCAATGTACACTTTTGAAAAATTTGGCCTACATCTTCCTATTCTTTAGTTCTCTATCAGTAAATGGAAGATAATACTTCCCTACTTCACAGGAGTGTTGTGAAGATAATCATAAGGCACTCGGATAATACGGTGATGAGAGCAATAAAGAAAACCATGACGAAATTATTAATTAATTAATACTAATAATACATATATAAGAAGTAAATTAGGCATAGGATCATGAATTGAGTGATGCACAGAGAAAGACATTACATAGCTGCCTCATTCCCAGAGCACCATCCACCTCGAGCAGTGAATGAGGCATGGTCATGTGGAAAATAAATAGCAATGAGAACATACTAAAAATAGTTCTACTCCCTTGTGCATATACAGGCTGCATGAGCATTTAATTCTGACATTTGAGTATTAGACTTTCAATCATAAGGTATTTTGTATGTTATTGTATTTATATACATAAAATCAGACCCCCTCAAGTTAGCACATTTTAGGAGATAGGATACTTAGGACAGTGCTAATGAGCTATAGAGCTTTCCACCTGTAGCTCAACAGTCTGAATCCAGCCCAGATCAGGGGAGAGTGAAAGCTGTCTCCATCTAATATATATCTGCTGGCCACTATATGAAATGAGTTTGGTGGAGGTCATTTCCAGCTCTCATATCACAAATTCACCATAGCACTTGGCACAAAAGAGTTTTGCATGGAGAGGCCAAAAATGGAATGGAACATGGAGACTAGACTCCCTCTGCTACTCCTAGGGCTTATCTTCAATACCAAGTTTGATCATTGTAGACCACAACTGTGAAGTATCAAATTAGCTAAGCAGAGGCTAACCACAACTTTGCAATTAATATAGAAAAGGACAAGTCCTGTTCAGCACTGTGTCAGCCTGACATGGTTAAGCCACAGGGGAGGTCTGAGACTTAAACATACCTTTTAACCATGATTACATGACACAATAATGCACATGGCTTGTCCTTGTCCACACAAAGATGTGGTCAGCATCAGGACAGTTAATTCCACTCTTCACAGTAATATTTTAACAATAAAATTGTGTAGTGACAGCAAGGCCCAGTGGAAATCCTACCAGACCAGGGTTGAGATAAGCTAATAGGGCAGTATGTCTGGGCTTCTCAGCCTGCAGATAAAAGAACTGTATTTGTCAGCACTGTGACCTTTCATTAACTCTAAATACAAAAAAGCATTTTAAAAAAAAACAAACTTTATGGTTGCGTGAAACATATTTGCAAATAGGCAAATTAACTCATTGCTATTTGCATAAACTGCTCATGTGACAGCAACTACATTATTATTTCACACACAAAAATGCATTCCAAAAGGAGAGACGCTTGTTTCTTATAGACGACCCACCCACCCCCCGCAATCCATGCAGACCTTGGATCTAGGGAAGTTGGAGAAGGTGAGGGGGACAGAGAAATCTTTTCTTCTGGTGAAGTGCAAAAAAAATCTTATCTCTCAAAACTCCAACACTGCATTAAACAGCTTGATGAAAACTCCATGAGGGGAACCTTGTGAAGGTCTCCCCCATCACTCTCTTCTGTTGGTTTTCTTCCCTTTCCCCACCACAGTAATATTCAGCAACTGACATCTCAAAAATTTCATTTATAAAGATTCTCTTCTAATTAACCAGTATTATAAGCAGGGCCTAGTATCACTGCCTATTATTAAGGGTACCCAACGCTTCCCGTTATAAGATCCTCTTTTCACTGGGTTTAAGACTTTGTCAAACTTTAACCATTTGGACTGAAATTTTACATGCCAGGTGTCTGCCACAAGCTGAATTTAAAAAAAAAATAATAATCTCAGTCAAAACAGTTCCACCCTTTCTGAGAACTAGGCTATGGAAAAATAAATTGTTTTGCTCATGTTTCTTTAAGACGCTTTAGCATTGCTCCTTCCCTTCCCTCCCTTTACCCCATTCCCCCTCCTCCCTCCCCCCCCTCCCCCCCCCCGCTTTGGAGCAGGGCCTTCAAATTTGGCACAGGGTGGCCTTGGGTCAAGAGAAGTGCCCTTCACCATCCCTGTGAAAATCCACCCAAATTTGGCCAAGTTATAAACCTTTGGGGAGAAAAACTGCAGTTTGCACATACTCAGTAGAGAGTATTTCAGTTTTTAGCAGCTAAAATCTCCAAAGATGCTCTATACCTTCACAGCTCCCAAGCAGGACTGGACTGCACCTGAGCCAGCCCCACAGAGTCACTGAATGTGGTCCAAACCAGAGCTATAGAGTGAAGCCAGACTTTCCCTGTAATTGCTGCAACCACCTGCTCTAGGCAAGAGTGGAGGTGAGCACCGCAACTGAGAGCTCTAAGTGACATGTATTCTAGCACCCAGGAATGTGGAGGAAGCTGCCTGATTCAAAAACAGAGGAGACAGAAGCTGGACCAGGGGGAGAGAAAGAAGTAGATTAGGACAAGGTGTCTGGTTAGTGTAGGA